AATTGCATTACAGTTTTTTCTCTTACTTGTCATGCACACCAATAATAAGAAATTTGATGCTGGACAATAAGAGAGAAATAATGTGTCTGGTTTGGATCTGGTCCCATATCCCTGTTCAGATCTAACTGTTTTATTTCAAAGTCTTTAAAGAGCTGATCAGCTGTAGTTCAAAATCGAAAAATGCCAGTACTGGTAAAACCTGTAAGTTCGTTTTTAATGCTAAACAAGTATTTTTTTAAACTTTTATGTTGAATAATGAAATCTTCATCAAAACACTGTCAATTTTTTATATATATATTTTGGCATTAAGAGAACTTTAGATTGAAACAAAATGGCAAATAGATCAAACTTGAACTGAATTATAATACAGTGATAGCAAATAATTTTTAATATAAAACATCAATTAGGAGCCTGAAAGCCATTTTTGGAAGACTTTTAAAAGAAGAGATTTTTGCTTTTCTTGAAAAAGTAATTCAATTCAATTTATTTATATAGCACCAATTCACAACAAGTCACCTCAAGGCACTTTAAAGTGACAAATTTAACCAGATTAGTCAAAATGGCTCAAAGTTTTTTATCTTAGGAAAACCAATTGATTGCATTGACTCATTAATTCGAAAGCAATCACTCAGACTAAGCATGTTTGCAGTGGCAGTCGAGAGGAAAACTCCCTTTTAACAGGAAGACACCTCTAGCACCTCTAGCCATCTGCGGAGGCCAACTGGGGTTCAGGGAGACAGAAGCAGATATAGAAAAAGAAGCTGGCAGCTGTCAATCTGCTCCACAGGCGGTCCCATCCAGTTCCCATTTCAGAGGATGAAAGAAAGCACATCCATCCAGTCACAGTCAGAGAAATAGAACTACACTTAAAAACAAGCCAAGCTCCAATATCTAAAAGCAAAGGCGTTGATGGCAGGACCACAGCTGACACCTTTCTCCAGGATTGTGTCAGAGCCAGACAGGTACACACCGGATGAAGCTACTAACGTTGTCTGCATGTGTCGCAGTTAACGCAGATATGCCCCCGCCCCTTCCATAGACACTCTGGTACACCTCTCCAAAATTGTGTGTGACCGCAGACAGTGCCACAGACAGGAGGCCTCTGATTGGTCAAATCTACATCCGCTCTACTATATGCGTATTACCTGTTTGGTACCTTGTTTTGTTTGTATGACCACCATTGTGTAAAACGACTCATAAAGATGGAACAGCTAGAAGAGCGAGGTGAGCTAGTTGCGCGAGAAAGCTGGGACCCCTTTTTCCACCTGGATTCCCGCTCTTTTTCTCATGTCCCTCCGTTTTTTGCACAAACTTGCCCAAACTTCCTCACCGCCTCGGCCATCTCTCAACCCACAGCTAGTCTGTGATTGTCCCTCTTGCATTGTGGCATGGAATAACATAGCGCAGACCATGCTTCAATATTGGGCATAAATCAAAAATATCTCAGACAAGCTCATTGCGACTCACTGCTGCAGGGAGTATAAATAGCACTTAAGTCCTCCAGCAGTCGAAGCCTACAGCAGCACAAATGGAAAAATAGCTCAGGATAACCTAAGTATTTTAGATAAGGCATAAGGCTCCTCAGTGTGGCAAAGGTAGAGCCAAGAAGAAACGTCTATCCTGACTGAAATTTTCTTCCACTGTATCAGACTGTTAATGCTCTTCCTCTCTGCCTACCCAGCGACTAAGAAATCTTCTCTTGTTACTTTTTCAAGAATCTGTGGCTTGCCAAGAAGGGCATTCAAGCAAGAACCACTGCTGATATAAACTCAAGATTTTAGGCACAGCACAATCTTTGTCATAATATTTAATCAACAATTCATTCTGGGAAAATAAGAGTGGACAATGGTTTTCTATGCTTCCTACTGTAAATATAACAGTGGTAGGAACAGCTGAATATGAAGGGAATAGGTAATTGGCCAAATTAACAAGTTTAAAACCTGTAAAATCCAGGTCTGCCATGTTACCGGTATGTTAAAACTTAAATACCGAATAGAAGCTTCTCCGATTTGATGACGCAGTGAAGAGCCAGGAGCTGAGCTTGTTGCCCACCATGCAAATACTGGAATCGAATTTGGCGTAAACACACTTTAACGGCACATTCCATTATTCCTTAGATAGAAAACTTTGAATCAATTTGACTGGATGATATGCTGAACTGTAAAGTGCCTTGAGAAGACATGTGTTGTGAATTGGCGCTATATAAATAACCTGAATTGAAATTATTCCCAGGTGAAATACTTTCGGCATCATCAACACACTTTTAGCAAGCTATGGTCTAACAGGGAACCTGCTGAGAGTTGATGGGAGGTTGGGGCTAAATAAAGGGCCGTCGATGAAGAAAACCTGTTAGAAGGCACAAAAGACCGAAGACTGAAGCAGCTGGTGCTAAGACTACCCTATTGCATAGTTTACATTATTTGTTTATTCAAACACTTTAGTTAAATTGCTTTATATTGGTCATTCCAAAATAGTTAATGGGATGCCAAAGCTTAAGAACAATGCTGATGTTTACATGTAAACATTTTCACTACAAACCTGTTCCGGCTCATTGGCCTTATGGGTTACAATAAACAGCCAGGGGAGTTAGAGGACAATGTTGTCTCTCCGTGACATCTCCAACCCCCTCCACATCTAGGTTTTATTTGTGTCGTGTATGGTAGGTCCTATCACCAGGCATCATTTCACAATCCCAGCCCTGTCATAGCCTCTCATTAACATTTTTGGGCTGCATTCAAAAGCAGATGCCTGTAGATGACTCGGGGAGTACAGTGACATCAGGACATGCCAGTGTGCACGGCGGCCAGCTCGCCTGTGTGTGTGTCTAATTCAGCTGTCAACCAGATAGTGATGCATGAATGGTGGAAACATACTGTGCTTGGAGTTTGAGCTATGTCCTTCGTATTAGAGTCCTTTGACGCCCTGCTTGACCTCACCATAAGGCATCTGCCCTAAAAATAAATAAGCTCATGTGTTTGTACTCGTGTCTTCGCTTCTCCATGCAGAGTCAAACGAAAACCTAAACAAACGTATGTAAACCGGGCACCTTCAGTGAAGAAGAATCAGCCTCCTGCTGTTAAGGTTAGAATAAAAATGTGTGTGGGCTACATTCAGACCAGTCGTCATGCTCCCTCCATCAGACTTAATAACAGCCCTCGGCTCCGTCATCATCTTGAGTGCTTTCATTAAAGAACATTTTTATTCTACTGTGCTCAGAATCACCAAGAAATTGGCCATGACACAGAGCAGCGCGTTTTAGCCCGACCTCGTCACCATGGCAATGTGTGTATGTGTTTTTTTTATTTATTTAAACCTAACTCATCTTTTGCCTTTCAACTTTAATGTTTGATTGAGATAACACTTTCAGGATGCCAGCGGTTCATTTTAAAAAGATGGAGTGGGAAGGTAAAAGACAAGGATGGCACTACTGTGAAAGCCATATCCACATAATGGCTACACTTCACAACATGGAATAGAGCAACCCTCAGTGTTGAAGAGTATTTGAGCTTGACTACAGTATTCCCAATCTGACTTAGTTATTTACAGCTATTGCTGATCTAAAATGTATCTCACTTATTCTCTTCTTTGTGTGACCGTTGGATTTCACGTGTTGTCTGCAGACAATGTAAAAGACTAGTAGCCTGGCCAGCTTGACTGATTTAAAAAGGTCTTAAGTGAGTATGCTCTAATGGGCATAACTCAATCTGGCTGGCCAGGC